GGGCATTGACGGTCGGTTGGGGGCGGAGGGATGACGCTCAGTTGAGCGCCAGTATCAATCAAGAAGCGCCTGCCGCTCAAGATGTCGCAGACGTAGGTATGACCGGACAAGTTGCCAGAGAGCTCGGCCACATTAACCCTCTGGCCGAGGAGTTTCCCTGTGAGGATTTGAAGGAGCAGGATGGAACACAGCGTAGAGCCTTTTCGCAAAAGTTGACACGATACCAGCATAAATTGGCGGTTCTTGGACGATAAGTGGGGCAACGATGGTCAGGGCTGACGGAACGACGCCACTTGGGGCTGACCGAACGACATGTAGATTTGCGCAGCTGTAGGGTGGTGGGGCTCGCCGAAATTTGAGCAATCTGAGCTTTGAGATCGGCCAACTCCGAGGCGGGTGCTGTTACAGGCTGTGAAATGCCGGGCGGATGAGCTCGGCGGAGGACGGGATGAAGAGGTTGATCGCGGTTGAAGAGAAGCCACCTACTTAGAAAGTTTGGCAATCTCAGTTTTCAGGTGTGTTAGAGCAGACACATGAGGAACTGCAGGAGTTGGGAGTGCGCCAACGGGTGGTTTGGTAAAACCGTGAATCTCCATCAGCCGTTGGCCCATTTGGGCGAGTTGCGAAGAAGTGAGTGAGCCAGAAGCAGGCGCTGAGATGTGCTGAATTGCTGGCGGAAAGCTGTCCATTGTCAAAACCAGACTATATCGCGGATTTGGAGAAATAAGGTGTTCGTCGGGAGTCACCGATTATTGAGAGCTAATTTCTGTATCAACACCAGAGAGATCCCCAAATAACAAGTCTGGGAAGACTGATTGAACTCGAACAACTTTACTGGGTTGATACATGCACAGATTGCACAGGGTTTATATTTCGTAGAGGTCATCCGCACGCGTACTATAATTGCCAGCTCCTGTGTCCACCGTTTGTTGTCTTTACTGGTGCGGTGATGGCTTGAAACTTCGCTTTCGACTCATTAATTGCCGCGATTTATTTGTCCGTGTCGGATGCCGGCTTTATAATTGTGCGGCAATTATGCTAATGTCGTCAGATTTATTGCTGGGTTTGGCCATTCCCATGCAACTGATTTTCTTGCTCAGGCAACGTCTCAGTACACAATATGGAACGCCAAATCGTTGCGCTTGTTGATGGACTGGGGGCCTGAGAACCATGGGTCGAGCAGCTCGTGGCTCACGCGGTCGTCACCTCTTACGAGGATTGCGGCCTCATCAAACTTGAAAATATGACCGCGTCCCATCGATTGAGTTGCAACCTGGGAGTTGGCGTCTTTCTTACTCACCATCGCTGCATGCTCGACCATTCTCGTCCGGAGTAGTCTCCAGTTTCTCCCACGTAGTCAATTTGTCAACAACTGCACCAGGTGGGGTAAACGACTCCAGCCGTTTTCTGCCGCGGCACTGGGTCTTTCGGTCTCAGGACCTGGTGCCTGATGGTTGCTTCTGGCCTGTGCGCAACTCCAACTCCAAGTGAGTTAAGCAGGCAGCTGACCGCTTCCGATACATTCTTCACGTACGGGGGAGCTCGCTAAACGTTTGGGCCAGTTGAATTTGGTTTATTCTCGCGTCTGCGTATGTACTGGTTGAAAAGATTACGCGGGTAAGCATTCGCTCTCACTACCCGTCTATGATATTTTAATTCCAAAATGTTGTCCTCCACCTCGGTGCAATGCGTCTCAGCGCGCCGGTATAAGGCTCTTAGACAGCTGCGTTCGTGACTGATGGGTTGGTTGCTGTTAATTTTCAGGGCCTTGCGGCAAACATACAGGAAGGCTACCTGGTTGTTTTCTTCTTCCTTCATCGTAAATTAAATGTCCAGGGAGACGGCGTTTAGACGTTCTTTGAATGTAAGCACTTGATCCCACTCAATTACAACGGAGATGTCGTCCACATACCGAGCCCAGAATTTCGGTCTATGGTGTCGGAAAATTTGCCACTCCAACCGTTGCATGACCGCCTCTGCTATGAGTCCGGAAATAGGCGAGCCCTTTAGCGTGCCCTTCACCTGCTCGTAGATAGTTCCATTGAAGGTAAAGTCCGTCTTGAGACAGAACTTAAAGAACTGGAAGATTTGGGCGCGCCCGAAGCGATTCTCCGTTTCATCGTATTTCTTTCGTAGGAGTAGTTGACTAGTCTCGACTGCCAGGTCCTGTGGAATAGAAGTAAAAAGGGACGCGATATCAAAGGATACTATGGTATGTTCTGGTAGGAGGCTTGTCCCTTTAAGTTTCTGAAAGAATTTTGTTGGAGAAATAACTGTTGTGTATGAATCAACGGTCAAGGATTTTAGCCGTCGGAACAGCCACTTTGCCGGTCTGTAGGTTGGAGTTCCTTTGAAAGATACGATTGTGCACCTTCGGAAGACCATTGTAGCAGGCTAGGGCCGTTTCTTGCGCTCTGGCCATATGTTGGTTGATTGATGACAAT